CTAAATCGAGACATACTGAGAGAAAATACCACTTCATCAGACATCGGGTAGATGAATGACTCCTCGTCGTCAAGAGGGTATCGTCAGAAGAGAATCCTGCAAATCCCCTCACAAAGGGTCTGGTAGGATTAAGTATGTTAAGCATGCGAGGAGCATTGGTTTGAAGGATAATATTAGTTTTAGTGACCAGATAGATGTTATTAGAAACTTGTAAAAATATAAACATAATTGACATTTGATGATTTTATAATGGAGATTTATATATAACTATTATTTACTATCTTTTGTAAATTGTTTATTTTCTGTTTCAACTTTGCATGTTTTACTTCCCAAATAATTGGATTGTTCAAATTATCCTCAGTCGATCATAATTTGGAAGTAAGTAGTTAATTAAGACTGTCATGAATTGGCTTGCAGATTGTCTAAGTGTTTAGATATAGCAAATATTTACTGCAATGTTCTTGAGTACTCCTGCAATGGGGATTTGAGTATTGGATTAAACTCAACCTCATTTGAATTACTTCATGAAATTTATCACGATTAATTATGAGACGATAATATCATATAGTCTTTAAACTGAGATATATGAGTTGTTGTTTACAAGTTGATTATGCATTGAAAGTGCATAAACGTATCAGTAACTTGATCTTATAAAACATATTGTTGAATACGATTTGATGAGTAAATAGTACAAGAATATAAGTCAAAGTTTATCTGTTACTTTTATCCCAAGGGGTAAAAGCATTATCTTGGGGCCCTCGATGATTTTGTGTTGACTTATGTGTCGTGCCTGGTTAGGATTGAATTGATGTGTTCAGTTAAGTTCCTTATCATAAAAATCAGAAATCAAGAAACAAATTGTTAGACAATGAGAATGATTCTATTCAATTTCTTTGTCCACATGATATCTTGTTGAACGGTGGATTACATCATCCCTTATCTTAAGTACACACGACTTATAGAGTCAGAGTTCGATAGCGGATTTTGAAAGCTACGATTGCTTGTCAAATTTTGAAGTCATACTTGCAATTATAGTTATTAGACTTTATCCAAATGGGAGACTAGTAGGTTAGGTGTCTAGGCTCATAACTATAATGCGTATCTACTAGATTTTATAGTAGCATGGTCCTTTTCGGTTGCCTTCACCATAACAACTTGACAGGATGAATTTCGGAGAGAGAGGTTGAATTTATTATTTGGAATAATAAATTAATTTATTAATGTATTATGAACATAATATATATTAATTAGAAGTTTTTGTTATTTAATTAGTATTTAATAAGAAATTAATTTGGAATTAATTTTGGGATTAAAGGAAGTAATTAAAAGGACAAGGGTTGTTTTGCAAATCATTTATAGTTGCGGAACTGGACAAATGGACTCCTTAGAATGGAGTGGACGAAATTCTATAGGGAGGCCCCATAGATTTGGTCCAAGATTCTTAGTAGGAGGTCCATGGGATGCTTAAGCATTAAGCAGAAAATTAGGGTTTCATCCAGAAACCCTAGCAGTCCACAGCTATATAAGGAACCCCTAGCTTATGATTTTTGGACACTTGATGCTTCTAAGGAACCTTAGCCAAAATTCTATGTGCTTCCTCCTCTCTCCTTCTCATCTTCTAGCTATTAGGGTTATTGAGACATTAGAGGTGCAATGTTTGAGGAACTAAGCTTTCAAGAGTCAAGAATCTACAAAGGGTTCTTGTAATTACTACATAACTAGCAAGGTAATCATCAAAACTCTTTTGATATATGATTTTCGAAATTGTATGTTAGGTCTAGGGTTTATTGCTTTGGTATTCAATTGCATGTTCAACTAGTCAAAAACTTCGACCAAAGCAATTAGGGTGGCATGATCACCTAGGATGTAGTTTTGCTCAAAACCCTTCAGATATATCTATATATTGTTCGGAAATAGCTGATTTCGTAGGAGAAGATATATATATATATATATATATATATATATATATATATATATATATATATATATATATATATATAACACATTGTGGGATTGAAATCTCTATGTATGTCACCAAGTTTACCAACCTGACCCACTCAGCTTGTATGCATCATATGTATCAAGAATTAATTAGGTCTTTACACTTGAAGTTAATTAGGATGTTGAGTGATAAATTAGGTCTTTACACTGTAACTTATGTATCTGTATGTATTATGACATCCTTTGGATTTTATTTGAAACAATATTTGTTCTGAAAATATTTTTATTCACTGGGATTTTCCGCAAATGAAGTATCTTGATATTTAAAGCGTTAAGTAATTTCCTTTTGGGTTCTAAAATTAGAGGATGCCAGTGATGGTATTAGAGAATTGGTTTAAGCGAACCAAGAATTGAGAGGATTTCGATACTTAAACTTAGAGCTTAAGCGGGAATGGTGAGAGTTGTGTCTAGAAATTTTTAGGTAATATACCTAAATTAATAATAAATACACAAGCACTAGAATATTTTAGGGTATATACCTAACTAATATTATTTGCTAATAAAAATTAAGTTACAGCTTCCCATAAAGTCATTTACCTTACATGATATTAGGAGCACTAGCATACTTTTGGATTAATGTCTTATGTGGTAATATGTGCTAAAAGTTTTGTGCTTTGCATACTTTAGGTTGCCTGCCTAGAATGCTCATAATAGAAAGAATTGGAAATCAAATGTTGAACTTGATTTGAAGGATAAAATATTATACATTTGGGTTCTAAACATTTAGTTAATGTATTTAAACTGGCATATAACTTTTGAGAGTGATAAGGAGGATTATGCGTCCAAATTCTAAACATAACTAAAACATTCCTTATCATAATATACTCGAACTACGATTGAGAGTGAACCAGAAGTTATGCCAGTAGCTGAACCGATCACGATAGCAGCAGTTCACACCATGATTCAGGTAATGCTAGTTGTGCAAATGAGGGAAGCTAGACAACTACTCCAAGAGAATTGGAGAAAAGTCACGACACTGATTATTGAACTAGTGTTGAATGAATTTCAACCCGAAGAAGGAAACTGTAGTAAATTTGTAAATAAAATTGAACTATATAGGGTTCAGAGAAACAATACCGAATAAGAGGTTAATCAAAATGGATGCAAGTATGAGGACTTCATGGAATCCAATGAGCAAGTCTTTCTAGAGAACCAATGCCAACGACAGTTATAGATTGGTTCTATAAAATGGAAATGGTGTTTGAAAGTTGCAACTGTGGAACTAAACGAAAAACAATCTTTACAGCCAAGAAGCTAAAGACTGGAGTATTAAGCTGGTGGAAACGGTTGGCTAATACCATGCCAAAAGGTGAAACAAGGAATATATCATGGGAAGACTTATTATGCAATTGAAAAGAGAATACTACTTGGAGAGAAACCTTCTGGAGATAAGTAACAAATTCCAAAACTTGAAGAACTAAGAGATGAGCGTCACCAAGTATGTTGTAGCTTTTACTGGAAAGATGGAATTCGTTCCTTACCTAGTTCTTACTAAACTCTCTAAGATAGAAAGATTTTCTAATTTATTGTCAGTGCATTTTGGTCCAAATGTGAAATTTGCAACTACTTTGAAAGTAGCCATCTGGGTTACCAAATATCTTGAAGGAATAATCAAGGGGAAAGCCGTCGACCAACCTAAAATATGAGGTAATAGGAAGAATGAAGGATCCTCAAAGCCCAATAAAAAGAGTATGTTTTCAAACCCTAGCCACAACAACAAGAAGATTGGGGGAAACAAAGAGTCAAAATTGAGTGAAAATGTAGAAAGAAGCATTTTAAGCAATGCATAGAAGATGGGACTAGCTATTGGTATGGAAAGACAAGTCATTATTCCAGCCAATGTGTATCTGAATAAAGTATGTGATTCAAGTCTGGAGAAGTAGGGCAATTCACGAATTAATGCTCAAGGAAAAAGTAAGTTGCAACACCCAATGTCCCATCAAAACCAAATGCACAAGTGTTTCAAATGACTCTGGGAGTTATAAAGGAGGAAGTCGATGTCGCTTTAGGGAGCTAATAGACGGAAGCTACTTATCTAGGGAGTTCTAGACATAAACTGATCACCCCACATAGATAGTCTTGTGGTATGTAGCCTAATATAAGAGGCATAGTGTGTAATAGACTTTGAATACGATTTTAATTATTTTTATAAGTTATAAAATACCTAATTATGTTGTACTATTCAATGTGTTAAGTTTCTATGTGATGTTTCAAAGATAGTGACTTGGGGATTGCGAGACAATTCATGGGATGAGTATGAGTATGAAGGTTTATACCGATCAGATACACTTCAAGTATAAAGAAGAAAGTAAAACTTAATCTAAAAAAATAAAGAAAAGAAAGTAAATGAAACAAAGAGATCTCCAAATTGTTCTTTCACTAAGAAAGGGTTTTGTATTAACCAAGATGACGGTTTGTCACAAAAACGATTGACACAAAGCAGAACTCTCTCTACATTATGGTTTTCCATAATGTAGATTATATACTAATCTATACATATCAATCCCATGATTTAAGGTATTGTATCTTATCTACACTAAGAACTGATCTTCATAACAAAGATACCAGATCTTCTATCTATTATGAACTTTTCTATATCATTGATTAATATACAAAACATTACATATAATAACTATACTAAGTGTTGATGTTGATAAGAATTATACGTTATCACTGGTAGTAGAGAATACACCGACACTGATGGATTGTAGAGTGTTTGACTCATTAAATAATAAGGTGTGACCTTACTCTCTCCGTATTTGATATTATCAAAACTAATCCTATTTGTAGTCAATAGAAGAGCCATTGTAAAATTTGTCGGCTTCTTTCAAGATCTCACACTTGATCCATCTGAATTGATAAATTTTAAGTTCATCCACTCTTCTACTAAGATCTAGAGATATCACCACACGATATCTTCTTTCTAGTTCAAAATGACCAAGTCCATCCAAACAAATGTTCAGAGGAAGATCATCAGTGCATTGAAAGCACATTTGATTCTAACTGTCATGATATAATATCCCATGCTCTGGTTCTGGAATGAGCATGTATCGGACAGGTTCAACATCCCCTGGTAATTCATTGTTGATATACCAAGTTACATAAGGAAGAAGAAACTTGGTATTATAGGACTCTCTTGGAGCGTATGTCCTTCCTGAGGATGATGGTGTAGATGGACCAGCTGATAGCACAAGGTGCAACTTCTTGACTTTGTTCAGTAGCTTTGAAATTGCCAACTTCAATTCATGAGCATGAATACCGTTGTGTAAGTCGATAATTTCTTGAATTTGCCTCCACTCTGTGTAACCAATCTGATTAGCTCACGAGCAAATACAAGCTTAGTGTATTCATATTCTGTTTTTTTTTCAAACCAAGTGAAGCTTCAGTGACTTATTCCTCGGTTTGGTGCATCTCACTATGATAATAGGATCAAGCTTTCACATGTGAGTAACAACATATCCGAACTTCTTCCTATAAATCCAGTCGTTGAAGACTCAAACTATGTTGTATCTCCACATTATTATTGAAGATTTTCTTGATCTTATTTTCAGTGCTTTGAACATTAGCACTCTCGTCACCAGCATCAACAGAAGAAGAGCTTCCAGCTTCAGTGACATTAGATCCCCCTGAGAAGGAAGCCTTTCTTTTTCGAGGATTAAGCTGATCATTTTCAGAGTCAATGTCACTATCAGTTCCTTGGGGAACCTCTTGAGGAATCGCCCCCTCAGAGTAAGAACCAAGGTAGACAACATTTAAGGGAACAATAGGAACAACAAGTTGTTGCATGAAACCAACATCAAGAAACCCTTCATTGTCATCAGTCTCTGATTCGTCACCAGTGTATAGAATGGGTTGATCAGTTATAGCTTCATCATCTAGAATATCAACAACACCAATATGCATTTGAGGATCAACTTCAGCTTCAACCCTTCCAGACATCTCAGGTTGAGATGGAGTTGGTACAATCATTACCTGCATTTGCATTGGCTGAGGACCACCTTGATTATTCTCCCCCTTTTTGGCAGCATCAAATTGGGGAGGAGAGTTAGGAGGAGGTGGAGGAGTTCAAGGAGGAGAGTGAGATGGCGGAAAAGGATTTGTTGATTGAGTTTGGGGTAGAGGAGGATTATCACTTGGAGAGTTCGGTTGAGTGTCATCAACAATCGTATCATCAATATCACCATCATCATAAGCCAAATCCATAAGTCGCTTCATTGTAGCCATATCTCTTTAAACTTTACTCAAACTTTTATCTAGTGGTTGAGTAATCTACACAATTAGAAAAATCTAGGAAAGAACAATAGTTTCAAAGTAAGTGTTGGAACTGTTGGATTAATGTCTAAGTCCATTACTATATTTGGTATGTACTTGCCCCGACCCGACATGGTCCATTTGGGTTGCACTTCACCGACACAATTTATATGGATAGTCTTTTGAGAATAGTATATTTATGATTTATATTAATATATTATAAGTTCTAATATATTAATAAGGAATCATATTATTTAATTAGTATTGATCAAGACTTAATTAAGTGATCAAAATGAACTAATTGAATATGGATTCTTATATATATGGAATGGGCCAAATTCATTTAGGTTGGGCTAAGCTTTCATGGATAGTCCATGGAGTCTTTAACCCATGGATCATATGAAATGAAAGGTCATGGGTTTAACCCTAGTCTCCATACTATATAAAGATGTCCTTGGTTGGTGAAATGGGCACTAGTGTGGTACACTAAGAAGGGCTAGCCGATTTCACTAGAGAGAACCAAGTATCCATATTCTCTAAAGTCTTCCAGGGTGTTTTAGTGATTGTGATTCCACTTAAGGCTTCCACACTATTGGGGCTAAGCTCTTAAAGCTTGAAGAAATCAAGCTACGCCAAAAGGTATGTCATCTAACTAGTCTTTGTAGTATAGTTGCTTCATAATATGCTAGTTAGGATTAAAGCCTTGGAAGTTCTTATTTGCATGTATAATAGAGAAAACACAGATCCAAGGTATTTAGGGTTGCATGTACACTTAGGAGTGTTAGAATGCTCAAAACCCAACAGTGGTATCAGAGCCACGGGTTGTTTTCTATTATATTGATACAAATATTTTATTTTCAAAGTTGGAAAAAAAAAATTGACGTTTGTCAAATTTTAATATAAATACTTGTTTTTGTGAAACACTAATTATTTGTAAAATTTGAATCATTTGCTATATGAGTTAAATTAGGTCAAATTTAGTAAAAGATAAAATGATATGATTATTTTATTAGTTTTAAAAGTTTTATCTAAAGAGTTTTTTGAAACCTCCATAAGTTATGGATATCAAAAGATTTAAAAAAAAATGATTCAAAGCTTTTTATGGAGTTACAAAAATTGTTGTTAATGTTTTAAAGAATTCCATAACTTGTTCATAAGTTATGAAACATGAAAAGTTTCATCATTAAACAAACATTAAACTCCATAAGTTATGGAATCTAAAAGTTTTTTTTTTTTTGAATTATTTTGATCTTATGAGTTGAATTGAGATTAATGAAAAAATTATGTGATAGTTGGTTTTAATTCAAATTAATCCAAAAGAAGTTCATAAAATGTGTTTATGTAACTTAAAAGTCACATTTATGAATCTTAAAACTCATAAAAGTTAACATATGTTACAAAAATGAAGAGTCTTGTTTTCATTGAATGCTTTGATGACTCCATAACTTGTCTTCAAGTTATGGAGGTTCAAGAGTCACTTCATTAAATCATTAAAATGTGTAACCTTAATTAATTCCATATGTTACAAATAAAGAAAAAGTTACATTCTTTTATTAGTTTAAAGTCTTCCATAACTTGTCCTCAAATTATGGAACTTGAAGAGTTTTTGGATTAAAACTACTTTAAACACATAAGTTATGGAATTAATTAGTTTTGAATATTTTCAAAACATGCCCTCAAGTTTTGGAATTTGAAAAGTTTTCTCTTATGAATACTTTAATTCCAAGTTAGCCCTTTAGAATTTTAAAAGTTAAAATTCAACCCTTATACTTTATAATATTATAAGTTAATAATATTTATATATATGTATAAGAGTAAAGTCAGTCTTACTGTTAGTAGGCCTCATTCACGAAGCCGGTCTATAAGGGGGATATAAGGTTACTGCCTATAAAATGGCAGTTTAATGGGTGTCCACTCTCACCCACCGCTTCCTTGACTGGTGGAGGGTCGTTATCCGAACGGGTTTGACAGAAATAGAATTCTCCCTTTATTAAAAGTATTAATGATAAATACTAAGTAACTAAACTCTTAATAATACCCAATCTTAGTTACTTAGGAAAATTTGAATAAGGTGCTAATCCATGAAATTACACTTTGCACTTTGTTTAAGTCGGTTAGTGGAGCATGTGTGGTTAACCGGCACACTAACTCGTATTTAACAAGGTAGGCAAAGGGTAACTTAATGTTTATCATAGTATCGATGGAGCGTGTGTGGTTAACCGGCACATCGATTGAGGGGTAAACACTTAAGGGTACCAAGTAATTTTGTATGGTTACTTCACACCTTGTTTTGTGATGCTCGGCATCCCAGTCACAAAACCTAAAGGGCACACTCGAGATTGAAACATGCCATTGAACAGTTCAATGAATCTCAAAAGATCTAGGAGTTTCAAATCCAATTAAAACCTAATAATACATTTCGTTTATCTTGGTGGAAATTGGTGAATCGTTATTCACCTACCTTCAAATATTTTATAGCTTGGATTACGGCATCCCTCTTCTAAGTTATAAAATAGTTTGTAGGATCCTAGCCTTAATATTTCATATTGGGTGTCATATTAAGGACTTTAGATCAACTATCTTGAATATCTCCTAAAAGATGTCTGGTTTAGACATCTATGATCTTCCCAAATCTCTTGAAACAAGCTTTCCTAAATGAAGATGATGTCCCATGGAAATCATACTTCTTTCATCTCCTCCAATTATTCTCCCTAACCCACAAGTTCTTGAAAAGTTTAAGGTCACTCAAGCCCTATTGGCAAGTAAAGGTCTATGTGTGATCACATCTTGGAGATGTAGTCACATATTTACAAGTCGGGAGAGTTGGGTGTCCAAGTCTTAAGAAATTTAGTGGCTCAATCACTTTATAAGTCACATAGTGAGCTCCTTTGGGACTCCTATGAAACAGACTATGACAAGACCCTTAATGATCTTATATATTTTCTAAGATCAACTTCCTAGAACTTTTTGGACATTGATAATGAAGACATTGGATATCTAGTAAAGCTCACTCTTCCTAGTGAAAAGGGATCGGCCATAGTCAACTCGGTTGACCAAATGGTAAAAGAGAAAAGCTAAGTCTAAGATAGTACCATTACCTAAACGTCCATATGTTAAATTGCCAATGGTAGGGGCATCGGTTGCGAAGCTGCCAAATTTTACCTAAGTTTGACTCTACTTCAGGTAAAGTCCACTATCTAATTTTGCTAAGTTTCTATTCTGAGATTCCTGATACATGATGTGACTGGGTCACATGTTGATGTCTTAAGAATCAAAGAAAAGTAAAGAAACTTAAAGAAAGAATATGTTTAATCTGATCGCATAGATGGATTTCTATCGCATAGTTTGAAGATTGGATTCTTGAGCTAATTCTTAGGAGTTATGAGATGTTGCTTAGGAATAGATAACAACAAGTTTTCATATGGATTGTAAGGATAAGTTTTTCCGCAAAGTTTTAAAATTAAAAGAAAATTTCTAATTTTATTTATTTTAAAATATCCTTACAATGGCATCTGTGAAAATTTTTGTTGCTTATAAGATTTTGTTAATAGCAAGAGTGGAAAATAGGAAATTGATTATTTCATTTGTGGTAATGTCTAAATTTACCAAATAAGGAAATATTCTCATCACCCAAGTTTCAATTGGACCGGAACTTGGAATCATGAAAGTTGTATAGCATGATGAATGAGAACTTTCAAGTATTGGAAAATTAAGACTAATTACTTTTTCATATGGATGTGTGAGTCATGTAAAGGACTAAGGGATCGAGTATCTTGTGCACTAGTCAAGTCCACCACAAAAGACCGATAAGATTATTCATCATAATTTACTAAAGCTCAGCAAATATGGTTATACTTACAAGCTTAAGTGTAATTCTGAGACATTGGAAAAGGTTCCAATGTATGATAGAGCGAATAAGAAGAATCAAATTAGGCAGAAGGATAAAAGTTTCTCAAATCTGAAAAGATGGGAGAGTACTTTAGTATGAGTTTTTATGATCATCTTAATGATTTAGAGACCTTATCACAATTCATCCTCTAAGTGCATTCTGATAGCTAAGAAGAGGAACTATGAATTGTTGAAGTGGTTAGATCAAGAAGATGATTCATACTTCATTCCAAAAACAATTCTTATAGTCATACTCCAAGATTGTAACTTGAGTGACATGTCTTAAAGAAGGGTTAAAACACTTGTCAAATGTAAAAGTAAAAGTTTTCTACTCTTGTATATTTGAAATTGGTAAGTTGTGATGTTTTGGATAAAACAAAGACCAACTAAGGCCAATTGTGTGAAGTGTTTGTCTTGATTAGAATCCGCACTATTTGTTGGATGTTTGACAAGGGAGTCTTATATGTCAAGAGGACAGTGGGAGTCTTAAAGGTCTTGAAAGTCTCAAGAACTGATCAAGAATAAACCCTGCAGTTCTTCACTAGCACACGACTTGAGGTTTATAACCTATCATGTTGACATATTCTATGCCCATTCCAGTTAAAGTTGGCTTTGCATATGAGTTCTTAGAGTTCTCAATTGGTTGTGCAACAACTTGGAAGCAATGGCAGGCCCTTGAGCTGCCAGGTGGCAAGAAATCAAGATTGTGTTTAGTCCATATCAGTTTGGATTTGTCATTATCCTTGTCTTGTGACTATGGTTTTGACAACTCACATGGATAAGAACACATACACCAGTAAATCTAAGTGTCATAAGGTTTCTCTTCGATTCATGAAAATGATGGT